ATTCAGTGACCCCTCCTTGGGTATCACTATGGAAGATACCATAGTGATTGCCCCATCTTCCTTCCGAGGAGTGGCTGGTGGGTTTGAACCATCACCCTTCTGGTTAGCAGTCAAATGTCTTAGGAACTACGCCACCAGAGCTCCTTCACTTTCTAATACTCTGTAGAATTTCTTATCTTGTTATTGTCTGGTCCCTCTTGCCCCTCCCTGCTTCAATATAAGTTCTATGAAAGCTGGGGTTTGTGTCTTGCTTTAAAACAAGGCCTGGCAAATAGGCACTCAATAAATACTTGAAGGAATTGCTTGTAGCCACTAGGTAGACCATACTGCTTTAAAAAATGTTTTAAACCTTGTTCATCTGTATTACTTCATTCTCAGGCCTTCCCTAAGAGGTAAAGTAAATACTGTCTATTGAGTAAACTGGAGCATGGAGAGAAGGTAAATGACTCATGCAAACTCCTATTCCTGAGGAGTATATCTCTGCAAGCCTCTCCAAACACTTGTCTCTAATTTTGTGGAGACTCCTAAGGTATTTGTTGCCAACAAATCTTTTGGGGGACAGAAGTTTAATATGACTAAGAATTGCCACCTACAGACTCCTAATTCATAATGAAAATGATGTACAGAAATTCAAGAGTATAGATATGAATAAGTATAGGGATGGAGGAATTGAGCTGGTAGGATTGGTTTAGGCTGACAGCTCTCCTTTTCTCTCTTAGGATGCACCTGTTGATGTCTCTTACGTTTTTGAGGACGGGTTATTAGTTCACAGGTAATGAACACTTGGAGACTTATTTGAAAAGGGTGATTAGGGGTAGGGGTCATTACACTCCAGGAATCCAGCAGGCCCACAGGCACACGTAACTCATATAATAGTCACTTTTGCTCTCCTTTCAACCACTATCCCATTAGAATAGGCTGAAAGTAGGATTCTGCAATTGGTCTAGAAAAGTTTCCTTAGTGTCTATTTTTTCAAAGATTAGAAACCTGAAGATTAGTTGCTGGAGTAGGGTGGGAGAAAATTGGGTCATATGTCTACCGTTTTTATGGGAAGTTTCAAAATCACACGTATTTACCTCATTATTTGCATAGCAGTTCTCTTAAAAGAATCTTCACACTTAAGTTTATTAACCCTTTTACTGACTGGACCTAAGGAGCAGTAAAAGATAGAAAGATCCCCACCCAAAGAGGCTTCTTGCTCACTGGGAATGTAATACACAGGGAACCCTTGGCTCAATGTTTTCTAAGTTTTGTGTGTTTGTTCTTCTGCAGACCAGGAATGTCTCACTTTCGAGAAAGATGGCTGAGGGAGATTGTTGAGGGCAAACTTAGTTTACTGGCATCAGTACCCCTCTAATTCAATTGTGTCCTACTCTTAATGGACTGTTTTGGGATTGGATTTCTAGTGAGAATGTATTAAAAATACAATACTGCACATGAAACCATAGAATATTTATTGAATAATAAACTTAGTGGCACACAATCCAGCTCTTTTTTTTTTTGCGTTCATTCATTTTCCATTCTGCAACTTCCATCACATTGGCAGAGTAACCAGTAAGTTGTTTCCTATTTTCTAAAAGGTTTTTCCTATCACTATAAGTGTAACTTTAGAGTCTCATGGGGATAGAAGCTAAGTTTAGAGAGTTGCTAAAATTCAACCATCAGATCAAACTAAGATTGGTTACTTGGCTGCTGTTCTCTCATCTGGGTCTAAATCTCCAGCGCAGGCATATCTTTTTATGGGCACAACTGGGCAACACAAAATGACAACAGTTCTACAGCTTATAATATAATCAGTCAAAAGGGTTTCTCTGCTACAGGCCCCTTCATTTACTGTGAATTAAACCTCACTGCTAAGCAATACTTCTGGAAAACGAAACTGGGCATATTGCCTTCCACAATATACTTTCACTATCATTATGGCAGCAGAGTGGCTGAGGATTGAGAGCAATGAAACAGGGATAGACTCAGTCACTACCCTCACTTATTTCTTGCCTTCTTCCATCCTCATATCACTAGTTCCTACCATCCCTGTGAGGTCGTTCTGCCTGGGTGCAAACTTTTACAACACCAAAGACAAAATTACACTACACTATGAATGATTATTTACAAGTACTTCAGAATATATATTCACATAGACAAGCACTAGAAAGGAACAAAGAATCTTGAAAATAATTGATGTACGAGGCAGGTAGGGCTGTGGCTAACTTTTCTTTCTTTTTTTCTTTTAAAACTTACATTTGTGTAATAAATATAAAACAGAGGGAGAAATCCTATCAAAGCAACATACAGAGACAAGGAGGTGGGAAACTAGATAACTCTCTTTAGAGAACAAAAAAATATATTTAAAATACAATAGGCTTACTATTTGACTTACAACTCTGGTGACTAAACACAGGTTACTAAGGAGTAACTTTCATGAGCTGAAAAGAAAATATTTTAAGCCCTTTTATTCTTCCCTCTTCTTCCCTAATGAATATGTTACTGAAGCTGTTCTTTGGCAGATCTTTGCCTAACAAGCCCTGATGAAAGGAACAGTAAAGTTCTGAAATAAATTCATGTCTTTTCTTTCATTTACTCAAGAAGCATTTGCTGAGTATCCACTATGTGGAAAAGATAGGTGGGGGAATCAAATGAAAATTCACAATATTCATATACCACAAAATTGTTGCATTTAAACTACCTTGCCTACTAAAAATAAGGGAACATGCTAATCCAGTCTCTAGGAACTAGTAACAAAAAATATTTACAAAGAATAACAATTTTAAATAGGGATTATAAAATTTTGGTTTTATTATACAGGGAAGTAGATGGCTTAAGACTCATGAGTTAGGGACCTAGTTCCTGCTTCGCTTCTGGAAATTATCGATTTATCAGCCTAGGCAGCACTATAGTTAGATACAGATAATAGAAATCACTTTACATTCAGAGGTCATAAATGTTGCTACATGCTGACTGGCTTTTTAGTTCATTAATTGTGGATTAAAGGTAGATATTTTCCTTGAACACATGGTAAAGAGTAAAACTTCTGATCTATAGTTTGAGATATGACTACCTTATTTAGGAACTCTGAAAAAAAACACAAAACACTTTATAGTCTTATAAGGAGAGAGGGCATTTTGTAACAGCACAGTCAGAACGCCCCCAGCACCCATACAATTTCAATTTATAATAATAATGTAGTTCAAGACAACTTAAAAAAAAAAAAACAGCCAAAAACTTTCAATGCCCCTCCCCCTTCACTCTTTCACCTAAAACTTAACAAAACAAGAAAGGATAAAAGACTGTGGTTTCATAATAGCACAATTTTCTGTCTTCTAAAATTAAAAGTAATAACCATAAAAAGGTGACATAGGGAGAGGATTCTATACAACGTTAAAGATTACACTGAATGACAGATCTAAAAAAGAAACTGGTTTAACAATTTTTAAAATGAAATGTTTATTAAATAAAGGACAGACTTAGAAATGTTTTAATATCATTTTAACTTCAAACTTATGAAACTAAGTAAAAATACTGTTCATTATATTTTCCCCTAGCAAACGCCCATTCTTCTGAGATGTTATCCTATCATCAAAGCACAGCTTAGATCAAAATAATGTCCTTACACTGGCACAACAGCTGATTTCCCAAGATTTTATATCTGAAAAAACTTTTTTAAAGTAACTTATTAAGAAATGTTTAGAGTAACTTATTAATTTTTAAAACTAATCTTCACATTTTCAATTCAACAAGTCTGTGGGTTAGTTTGCTTTTTGGTTTGTTGGTTGGTTTTGTGGTGGAGGTAGGGACTAAAAGCAAAATACATTACTTTTCTGGAAGACTGTATATTATATTATACAAGTAAATTTTCAAATTCCAAATTCGCCTTTTTTCAGTAATGCCTTCATTTAGTTAACAAAAGTGGTCTCCTGTATGTTTTTATCCAGTCCATTTATAACACATTCAAAACAGAGGAATGCTAATATCTCACAAGTTCAGTTGAGGAGTGGTAAGGCAGGCGTCATGTAGAGTTAAGAGTAGCACTGTCTCATGATGTGAGATTTAAGTTTCTCATGTCATCAACACTTTCTCTCCATGGCACCTCCCTCGATACAGGAGGATCTCATCTATAATTTGGCTTTTCAAATCAGAAAGTTATTACGGTCAATCCAAAATAACCCAAAGAACTTGTTAAAGTTATACCAGTAAGCAGTTTTTTATTGAAGGAGTGAAAGAATTCAATAGAAGGCACAGAATAACTGTAAAGCTCTCTCAGATCATCATCATCGTTTTATGTGTATGTGTGGAACCCAAACTTTGCTCTTTTTGTTGTTAGAAATGTCTGCTAAACAACCAGAACATCCTCATTTGTCATCCTTCCCTTTGGTCTTTCTGTATACCATCTCTCGAAAACTGGCCAGAATCTTGTTCTCTCTTTTTCGTCTCTCTTCTTGGTTAAAGGATGCAAGGGCTCTCTTCTCATCAGCACTATAGATCTGGTTCTCTTTTCGCAGTCGCACAGCCTCCATTCGGCGATGCCTGGAGATAATTTTATTTTTGGCTTAATTTCTCAACAATTATTCTCATAGCCCTTTCTCACTAATCCTTTCTTAATACAGAGTTGTCTATTTAAAAAGTTGACAAATAGAAATGGTGTTTTTGAAATGGGTTACATTTTCAAAAGTTCATTCGTTTATCTGCTTATGTGATGTGTCCTTTGATTCACTTCTAGTATTCAAATACAATGGTCTCTGGTGTTCTGCCAGCAGAGTGAATGTTAGCAGTATTTGTAAATACTAAGGGCACATGTCTAGTTAGGTTACCAGTAAAACCACCAGAAACAGGCAAATTAGAAAACTACCTGGGTAACATGTCCATTTCCTACTTTCAATTGCAAAGCTGTATAATTGATAGTTGGAAAGCTTTAAGCTGACATCAATTAGGTAGAAATTCTTACCATACAACCCAGACAACCATTTCTACATCTATAATTAAAGAGGAGTTTTCGTGACTCGATTTAACTTCCTTAGAATCTGGCAGTGGCTCAAAGAAAAGAAAGAAAGGATTTAGCACAATGGCCAAATCAGGAAAGTGCAGAGGCTAAGGCAGGGGAAAACTATTACATGATTTTCAGAAGGTCTATTCATTTAGTGGGAACACTTGATGTAGACCTGCCTCTTTTAGGTATTATGTACCTAATCTACACAATCAGTTCAAGATGAGCCTTGAGCTAAGTCTAGAAAAATTGGGTTAGGAAAAGAGGAGAGCATTATATCAGGTTGGTATGGAGATGAGGGAGTGGTAGGAAGGAAAATCAAGGAGATGAGAACCTAGTATCTCTCCATCTATTTAGATCTTCTGTACTGTCTCTTAATAATGTGTTATAATTTTCCCTGTAGAAGTCTCAGGAATCTTTTGTTAAGATTTATTCTTAAGTGCTCAATATTCTTGGATACTATTACAAATATTTTTTTCTTTTTATTTATGTTTTCTAGTTATTTATTACTGGAATACAGAAATGAATTGATTTTTGCATGTTGTTGTTATGTACTGTCGTGTCCCATTTTTTAAACCTTCCTATTACTTCTAATCCATTGGAAGATTCTTTAGGGTTTCTATGTTAACAATCGTAGACAGTCTTATTTCTTCCTTCTCAGTCCTTATGCCTCTAATTTTTTTCTTGTCTTACTGTACTGGTCCTCCAATAAAACGTTTTCAAATACTGGTTCTCAGAATTCTAAGATTCTAGAGGTGGTTTAGTAGTTCTATAAATACTTGCTCCTAATTTCATTTAAAAATATTTACATACTTTAAAAAATGTATAAAGTCTTTTTTAAAATCTAAAATTCAATTTGATCTTAGTACTGATGCCCTATTAGCTCACTCTCCTGGTTCTTCATGGTACCCTGCCTTCTCTTCCCTAATTGTAGACTCATTCGCCCTTGCTGAACCCGACGTCTGTCATAATCCTTTCTGCTATTCATTCCCAGAAACCTTGAGTCCACAGAGAACTGGAGTCAAACTCAGAAACCAGGAAACACTGTCTTAAGAAAATGCTTTCCTGACTACCAAAATGCCACATTCCTCATGAGCCAAGGATAAATAGCTGAATTTAACTATAAACTCCAGTTGATAAAATATATCAAAATATCAACTAGGAAGGGACACTGGAAAGACTAATTCTGAGTTGAGGCTGAGTTACATAATACTTGGAATTTTAAACAACCAAATTTATACCAATAAAACCAGTATTTATGTGGTACTTTTCATTAGAAATGGTCACTTAATGAAAATCCATCACCAAAATACAATTCTTGTACTAAGAAAGGAAAAGAGCTAATAACAGAAACTGACCTCAATGTCAAGAACATACCTGCTACCACTCATTACGTAACCTGAGCATTCAAATGATGCAATTTCTTCACTTGTCAAGCCAATTTCACCTCTTCGTGGGATACGTTTTCCAGCTTTCACATATTCAGCCATAGCTGCACCTTCACCAGGTAACAGAGCGTGGCCATAGCTATAAAGTAATTCAGAATTCAGAAAAGTTCTGTTAAAGCATCTCAACAACAACAACAAAAAAGATCCTCCTTTAGAGAGAGCAAAAAAACCCACTTTCTCTATGAAAACAGTAGGGATAGCAGTGTTGAACAGTAGCATGTTAAAAGGCCCAAAGTGAATGACTTTTTTAAATTAGTGAATACTGAACTGTAATCGATATAACTAAGCAAGAAAAGTAGACTTACTTTGCTGCTTCTGCCTCCAGCTAATTCCCTTTTACCCTTATAAGAAGGTAAATAATACAACTCAAATTAACATACTTTTTAGACTTACAATCAATAATAATGCTATACAGTAACAATTATCTATAACTTTCCTTCAAGAGGACTTTAAAAGCGACCATCCCTTCATTCAATTTAGTGAGTGTTTCTTGAGTACCTATTAAACTAAAAAAACTTGTAATATAAAAATAATCTCTGCCCTTGTGGAGTATACAGGTTATTAAGGATATAGCTGCAACATAATGTAGAATATATAACACATTTCATAGAAGAATGAAAAATACTGTGAGAATTAAAGAGGGGTAGAAATCACATCTAACTGTAGTGGGGAGGCATTGGGAATCACATATGCCCTCTCTTTTTAAAAAGGGCTTTGAGGGATGGTATGGATTTTGACAGGAAGAAAGTAGGGGTAGGGAAGGAAAAAGAGGGCAGGGAAGAGAAAGGAAGGCTGGTGGGGGAAGACTCAGGCTGGACAAGGCACAAAAATGGGAAAGTGCACAGTAAATACAAGGAACTTTTAGTCCAGCTCCGTTGAAGCGTAGGGTATAAATAAGGAAGTAGAGGGAGATAAACTTGGCAAGGTATACTCTTTAAAAGGTACTTTAGATACTATAAATACATTGCTACTTACTTCAAAGGTTTATCATCTTGAGAGGCAAGTGTTTTTGGAGCCTCTGGACCAATTAAATCTGAGGGTTCCTCGGGCTCTGCACAAAAGATGTTCAGAAACATATTCAGATTTTGACTAACTGGTTAATTTACTGCTTCATCTATTCTGAGTCAAAGTCTATCAAAAGAACCTACTTGATCGTTCCTTCCAGGGATTATCCAGAAACTCTTCTTGGGAATCTTTAGAGCTTGAATCACTGCTCTCTTTTCTACTCTTCTTAGACTTCTTTTTCTTATATTTCTTCCTGTAGTGATTATAATTTAATCCAAATCGACTCAGTAGTACCATGTTAAAGGGCATCTTATTTTTTTCAAGACAATGAAGAGTAAGACTTATTAAAATGATTTAAATCCCCATATTATTCAACTCATTAGAGAAGAATTTTAATTTTAATTTAGGGAATCTTCTAACTTATTTAAACAAATCATGTTTCACTATAAAAAAGATTATTAAAGGGAACTATTGATACAGTTTTCATATTATAGAAAGACAACAGAAATAAAGCATTTTAAAATAGTCTTACTAATTTGAGCTCAATAATAATTTTAAGAATAATGGATTAAAATTCATCAAATATGTTTAAATCCTTGGATTCATAATGATATTTTGAAAAATATATCCTATTAGTCACCTTTGGAGGAGCTCTGGTAGCATACTGCCTAAGGCACTTGACTGCTAACCAGAAGGCTGGCAGTTCAAACCCACCAGCCACTCCTTGGAAGGAAGGTTGGGCAATCTACTTCCGTAGTGATACTGCCTCAGCAACCCAAGAAGGGGTCGCTATGAGTCGGGGCCAACTCAATGGCACATAACAACAACAACAACAGTCACCTTTGGAGGCTGTTAGAAAGCCAACTCATTATTTTGAAAACTAAATAAATAAACCAAGAAAAAAAACACAATTATCCAGCCCTAAAAAGCAATACAAACTGTACTGTAAAAAGTAATACAAACTGTTCTATAGGGTAACCAAATGGTTGATGTTAACTAAGTTATCTTAGAGAATTACTCTATAAATGAAGAAGATAGAAGTGCTTGAGGCATTTGACTGCTAAGCAGAAGGCTGGTGGTTCAAACCCACCAGCCAATCCATGAAAGGAAGACAGGGCAGTCTACTTCTATAAAGATTTACTGCCTCAGAAACCCAGAGGGTTGCTATGAGTCAGAATCGGCTCTATGGCAGTGAGTTTGTTTTTTTAATGAAATAATGAATCTAGGCAATGACCATTAATAGCTGTTGATATGACAAAAAGACATAACCAGGCATTACATTATCTGCCTGCTGATGAAAATATGCACTACCACCTATTAAGTATTCTTTGAATATTTCAAAATTGAATCAGAACCTTGACAAGCCTTTAGACCCATCAATTTATAGGAAATACAGAGGACATAAAACCAAAAGCAAAACCCATTGCCATCGAGTCGATTTTGACTCATAGCGACCCTACAGGACAGAGTAGAACTGCCCCATACAATATCTAAGGCTGTAAATATTTATGGAAGACTGCCTTATCTTTCTCCCGTGGAAAGGGTGGTGGGTTTGAACTGCCAACCTTCTGATTGGCAGATGAATGCTTTAACCACAGTACCACCAGAGCTCCTTATAGAGTACATAAAAATATGTTAAAGAACACCATAAGGTACATTTAGCACCTCTATGTTATTTAGCTGCCTCCTCTGCCATGAGATTAGAAGAAATGGGATAGTACCCAGCTACCATGACTGAACATTTTGATCAGATTTTATAGAAGAATCCTGACCAAAAGGGAGAAAATGCAGAACAGATTTTCAACATCTCATGGACTCTAGATTTCCTAGAGCCATGGAGACTGGATGAACCCCTGAAACTACTGCCCTGAGAAAAGCTTTAAACCTTGAACCAAAAATATCCCCAGAAGTCATTTAAACAAACAAACAAAAAAGTTTAGCGTAACTAATGAAGAATGTCTACCTTGAGCATTGCACTCTTTTAAAAACTATCTATATAGGATCAAACTGACAACAGCAACATGAAAGATGAGATGGGAAGCTTAAGGGGCAGTGGGCTTAAGTTAATGGGGGAGGAATAATCTGGAAAAGGAGGGTGAGAATGGCTGCACAACTCGAAGAATGTAATCAATGTCACTGAATTGTACGTGTACAAATAGTTGAATTGATGTCTATTCTGCTGTGTATTTTCTCAACAACAAGAAAACATAAAATGAATGTTAAAAAAGAATGCAATCAGCAAAATCTACACTATAGGAAATTCTATATGACAAGTAATAGGGTTTCTTCAACAAATAAATTGTAAGAACAGGGAAGGGGAACATATTGATTTCAAGAGATTAAGGGACATATCAACTAGTTGCAACTTAGACAGTATCTGGATCCTGATTGGAACAAACTATAAAAAAAAAAAACTGATGAGATCTGAGGAATTATCATTAATTTTTTTTTATGTATGATAGTGTTATTGTGGTTACAATTTTTTTTAACTAACTATCTTATAGAGAAACATGTTGAAGTGTTTATGGATTAAATGATATCTGGGATTGGTTGCAAAATAATTGGGAGTGCTGGAGACTGCCTACAAGATGACAATTGTTTAGGTTGGGTGATGGGTACATGGAGGATCATTATATGCTCTTTTGCAATTCTATATACATTTAAACATTTCTGTAATAAAAATTAAGAAACAAACTGACGATCTGTGTTTCTTCTTCTTTTCCTTTTTCTTGGCTTTCTTTGCTCTCTTTTTTGTATCTTCATCTGTAAATTAAAACACATTATAATTGAAATTTTTTAAAAAACCCTAAAACCCCAATACTTTCAAGTATTTAAATATCCTATTGCTGTCCCATATGTTTTTACAAAAATAAATAAAATAAATAAACCAAACTCACTGCCATCAAGTCATTTTGACTCAGAGTGACCCTCTCCTTGAGTTTCCGAGGCAGTATTTTTATGGATGTAGATTGCCCAATCTTCCTTCCAAGGAGTGGCTGGTGGGTTTGAACCGCAAGCCTTCTGGTTAGCAGTCAAATGCCTTAGGCACTACACCACAGAGAAATTAATTAATTCAAACATTTATTCCTATTTGCCAAGAACTGTGCTAGGCACAGGAGACATAAAAATTAAAGTTACATGTGGTATTAGATGAGATAGCATATTATTATTATTTTTACTATGTGAGATAATGGTATTATGGCATACAAAAATATTTATGGTTGAAGTTTAATATTTAAAATTTCCTTTGACTATCTCAGCAAAACCACACCTGATACAAATACATCAAAATGTTAATGATTGTTAAATCTAGGCAATAAGTATGGTATAAGGTCGATATGAGTCGGAACTGACTCTATGGCAACTGGGTTTAGTGGAGTTCTGGTGGTGCAGTGGTTAAGTGTTCACCTGCTAACCCAAAGGTCAGCAGTTGGAACCCATCAGCTGCTTCACAGGAGAGAGATGTGGCAGTCTGGTTTCATAAAGATTATAGCCTTGTAAACAAGAATCATTTGGGTTCTATATACCAGAAATGAGAAATCTGAAAGGGAAATTAGGGAAACAATTCCATTTATAAGAGCATCTAAAAGAATACCTAGGAAGCATCTAAAAGAATACCTAGGAATAAACCTAATCAGGGACATGAAGAACTTATACAATTAAAACTATAAAACACTGCTGAAAGAAATTAAAGAAGACATAAATAAATGGAAATATGTTCCATGTTCATGGATTAGAAGATTTAAAATTTTCTTTTTTATTGTGATTTGGGTGAAGATTTACAGAGCAAATTCACTTTCCATACAGTTCATATACACTTTGTCTCATGACATTGACCACAATTTACCACAATGCAACAGCTCCCCTCCCACTTCCTCCCCATAGTTACCTCT